GGTCAAAATTGGTCCATCGGATCAAAATAGGCCGGAAAATCAAAAAATGGCCGGAAGTTCGCCAAAATTCGGGTAAAAAAACATTGAAGGGATTGACGTGACTTAACCCATATATCGGTATGTATTTTCGCCCGCTGAAACCGAATCTGGGGTCAGAATTGGCCCACGGGGTCAAAATTAGCTGAAAAATTGGCTGCCAAATAGCCTCCAACATGTTCAAGCAAATTTTCCTGTTCTCAGTATTTTTTCGAAGCGCTCACCAGATTTTTTTTTCATTTTTGGCGATTATAACGGACCCGTTTGCAATCAAGGGCATTCTTTTCCTTTTCCTCCCCTGAGCAGGCAAATCTCTTTTGAACATCCAACAATAGTCCGCCTTCAGATTTACGTCCCACCGCCCTGGATAGCGACGCTCCCTTTCTTGGAGAACTTGGTAGAATCTTTCTCCTTACTCCTCACTAGAATCCCCAAGATTATCTTCAATATCATTTAATGTTTTTTTAACCCCCGATTTTGGCGAATTTCCGGCCATTTTTTGATTTTTCCGGCCAATTTTAACCCCGGATTCGGGTTCAGCGGGCGAAAATACATACCGGTATATAGGTCGGTCCCCGAGTACACGACCTTTTTTTTGTGTGATTGTGAACTATTACTTATATTACACAACTCAGTACAGTACGATAACCTTAAATTATTTTTAAAAACACACTAGCAAATAAACAGATATGAAATAATTATTACTTATATTACACTATTACACAACTCACTGCAACACGATAACCTTAAATTATTTTCAAAAACACACCAGCAAATTAGCAGATATAAAATAATTATTACTTATATTACACTACTACACAACTCACTGCAACACGATAACCTTCTTAAATTATTTTCAAAAACACGCCAGCAAATAAAGAGTATTAAATAATTATTATTTATCTTATAATATTATACTTAAATATATCAGCACTGCTAGAACGAATCGGTAACAAAACTAAGTGCGGCTCTGAAGTATCCCAGCATGTAAACTAAACTCCGCCTCGGTCGCGTGCCAACAAAAACAACAATCGTCGTTCTCGCTTTAATGTAAGCGGTGTAAAAGACGGACGATGTCATAGATAATTCTCACCTTCATGTCGCGTTTTACCCCGCACGTCCCGTCACTATATCGGTTTCGCAGACTATACTTTAGCGTAGATCAATGTCGCAAAAAGAAATTCAGACAATTTTAACGAGACAATTGCGGAAGTTTATAAGACAATTATCTGCTGGCGTCAGTGATTGGCCTTAGTAGCGCAAATAAGTCGACGTTAAATAAGTGATAAAAGAAACTGTTATGGACTGAAAGTTGAAAATTGCTAAATTTTGCATACAGAAATTAGCATTTAACATCACATTCATAGCTAAAATACCTGTAAGAAATATTTTCTCAGCTGAGCCACCGGCAAATAAAAAATGCATAATTTAAACACTACGTAAAAAAAGGTGATTTCTAATTTTACGGTGGTTGCATTTGGTTAAATCTTGAATTCCAGTGACATGTAAAATTTACATATATCTTTTTATTTTCGAGGAATAAAAACGGCAAAAAAATGAAAGACTGAACAAATCGCGGGATAAATTAAAGGGGCTGTGAAAACCGGGTACCTATTATCTAAAATTAACATAACATTTATGTAAATTACAGAGCGTGTCCAGCCATGAGCGCTGGTTAGGGGGAAAGCGATAAGAATTTGTCACTCTCTTCGGGGAATTTTAAGAACAAAGTGTAATATTCAGTGAAAATATTAAAAATATTCATTTATAAAAGTTAAAAGTGAATCTAATAAACAATTATTTTTATTAATCCATGTAGTTCAGTTAGATCCGTGCAGATTTTGCCTATGGTGCGAATATACATCCAAAGGAATATTGGCTATGGTACCCTTCGATGTTGAAAACGTACTAGGGAAATATTTCTTGGAAGTCTTTGTGATTTGACAAAACTCATTCGATTAATACGTCTGAAAAACGAGGATTGGTAGGAGAAAGTTCTCATTACCTACTAAATATGCATAAGTATTCTCATATTTTTAAAATGTCCATTAATAACTCCATAGTGTTGAGTTGTCATGAGATGAATTTTACGTAAAATCGATGTCGATGCTGACATCATCTTAACATTTATTTAGGAAGTTCTAAGCATAGTATAATTTATGGGTCCTATAAATATTATTTTTAAAACTTGAGATGACCAACTTTCAATATTAAACTATAGCATTTATTTCCATTTTAAATTAACGGCCGGTTTCACAGTCATTGGTTAACTAGTAGTTATCAGTAATGCTGGCATTTTGCTGTAAATGCACACTGGCGTGTGTGTGGGAAACGACACACGTGTATTTTTGACCAGCGATCACAAAAGTAAACGTATATTACTAACAGGTGTTGTAAATGTTCCGGGGTTAATCTCCAATGCGTCTCATTAAAAATCCATTTGTATTTGAGAAACGTTCAGCGTTGACATATGTAATTGGCGCATACTTAAAATATATTAACATTTTCAGAGACTCCACTTTTATGTATTGTGTGGAAAAGTCTACTTCTTTGCCATTTAAAAAATCATCTCAGATATGACATGCAACCCCACAGACCGATGCACCGGGAAATTCAAAAACATTTTTTTTTAAAATCATTGAAAGGTCGAATAGTTGTCAATTATATAAAGCATAAAATGACAAAACCAATAAGTCCTTATAACTCGTGAAACTAACTCTAGTTATCAGTTTATCAATTAGCTATAAACAACTGTTTCACAATATGTCTGATTATTTAAAGTTTTGGTTATCTTGTAGTTAAAAAAACCTGTACCTAATGTATTTGTAATACTTATCCTTCGAATGTGATTATTATTTTATCCAAAATGGGGTTTTTTAACTACCAGCAACTCATCGGACATGTATAGTTAAATGATGCCACCAAATATTTTACGAAGAGAATATTGGTATGTCGCGTAATGCGATGTGATCCACTTTACCAATAGTAGTAAACATGTTTCGTTCTCCTATAAACTCATAGGTACTACAAGCCGGAAAAAGGGATGATATTACAATGAACCGTTTAACCAACATTCGTTGAAATTCTTGTAAATTAAAACCACCGGTGATACAACGTACCATCTCTTAATGGAAAAACTAGTTCAGAATATGATAATGTTTTAGTGGTTGCAGCACAGAACGAAACATGTCTACTACTATTGATAAAAGGGATCACATTGCCATTGTAACGAAGTAATTTTTTCTATTGTAATCAGACCTAAGTGGGTTTATCATCATTTTGGTACACCCTGTATATGATAACTTGTGTTAATATTTCTTTTAAAACCGTTTTTAACCAAAGTTAAATTTATTTTGCAAGTCCAGTATTTGAAATAATAATTATTTCTCTAATATAATTGTATAAAACCGGTTTCTTTTCAGAGTAATCTTAGTTTGTTTATTATTCTAATGATAAGTAGTTTATTGTGTTTGTACTCAATCAAGTAACAGGAAAGTAGTTTAAGTTAATTTAGTTTGATTTAAAAGCAAGTTGAAATCATTTATTCATGGTAAAGGAATTTGTTTCTATTCGTTTAATAATTTACCGAATAAGTTATTAATTGATTTATTTTAAATATTTTACATGGCCATTTCAAATTATTTCTTTTCAGAAATATAGTTTTAAAATTATGAGAAAGGGATGTCCAGCCCTGGAATGTTCTATAAACATTTGTTTATATGAATTAACTTAGGGAAGTTGTTTAAATACCATGCACCGAGATAAGCTGAAATAATGTTTGCGACGGACAGTAGTCGACACGCTTGCGCGTCGCAGAGATCCCCGCCATGATTTTGCAGGAGTTTTAATATAAATTGAATCACACTACGTGAAAGAATGACTTCACTTCTTCTCCAGTGAACGTTCCAGTTAGCAACACTGAGCTTCCGATCTCCAGTGTGCTCTGTAATCCGATAGTGGTAAGAATAACTTTTGCCGTTTTACTGTTTTTATTTGCATTTCCATCATTTACAGTTTGTGTCCAAATTTACCGTTTGTATCCGAATGTACTGCTGTGTTATTTTGTCTAAAGTGCCTGTTGTCCGAATATGTCAGAGATATTAGGTAAAATTCGCGATTCATTGATAAAAGTAGGGTTATCTACTTAACTGCTAGCATCAGGAATCCGCGGTTGTCATTATTTGTTGTAGCTGACGTAAAGGTAGAACTCTAAGGCCTAGTATGTGAATAGAGTTCCGTCCCACTCATAGTTTCACTACCAGTAAGGTTCTAAGACCTCGGCAGTGAATAGGACCTCACTAGGTAAACGCGAAGCGGCATAAGTGAAGTTTTACGGCCTCGTATGTGGATAGAATCCCACGAAGTGTCCCGTGGTGCAATGTATTAGCCATTCCGTCCGACACACGTAGTGAATAAACTCCAAATCAGGGGAGATTAGGAGCTAATCTTAAACTGTTTGACGCTAGCGATTAGAAAATCAAATATACCGCCTGCCCCTGGACTGATCTCCTGCACTTGTGTCTTGCTATTATTCCGTAACTACTTACCACTAAATATATTGCTGCACCGACCGCTTACCGTAATACCACGTCATTAACTGCTTGCTGTAGCTACCAGTAGTAGTAGTTACCAAACTCTTGCTTTATTTTGAATCACCACTTGCTTGCTTTTGTAGATGCTTGTAGTAAACATTTGATAGTAATAATTATTCTTAAGTTATTTATATTCATTAGTTAATTGCAACATAACCAACTTCGTTTTACATTCTATATCGGGTTGTAACATATTTTTTTAATTAGCGGATGTCGTGACAGAATATCCGCTGCTGCATTATTTTTTCGGAACAGTATGAAATAAGTTATATTCTTGTATCAAAAGAAACTATCGAGGTAATCTAGCGTTACGTAATTTATAATTCAATAAAATAGTGAGGGGCATGTGATCAGCAGTCGCCACCACTGATTGCCTTAGTGGCCTAGTCTGTAGAGCATGAGACTCTTAATCTCAAGGTCGTGGGTTGGATCCCCACGCTGTGCGCCAAATTTACCACGGCTCTCCTTTCATACCTGAACGATTTTTCTCAGGGTTTGAGTTGTATTAGAAATTGAAATGACAAGGATAAATATAATAATAATTTATTATTATTAAAACAAATATACAACAAAACTGAATATTCTGTCAGTTGTGACAAAAGTCTCTCCCCGTAGCATCCACCATACCCTTATTATTTTGTAAAACTATTTCAGTTAAGGAGAGCGTACTACAACGTTAAATAAAACAATAGACAAATTTTTTAACTACTAAACTTATGTTTAATCCATTATATTTAAGTTGATAACTTGGTAACTATACTCCCTTCATTTCGTATAAGCAATGCAAAAATTCTGGCATAGGCGCGCGGTGTTATATAAATGCATCTTGTGTATTTATATAATGCATCGCGCGCCTATGCTGGAGAACTATGCACTAATGTCGACAAGGGGTCGCACTATGAGCCTAGGTAAACATTTTTTTTTATATGCTTATGGGTCATTCCGTGTGAACTTAACAAGTGTTGGATTTTAATAAAATTTGATACAGGTATAGTGACTATAAAACTGTTTTTGTTTTATTAAAAAAAAAGTCGTTTTTTGCGATGCAGGCAATTATACATACCAGAGTCAGCAAAAATATTATATTTTATAGAAATTTTGAACTGGCTACAACTTTAACCTTATAAGTGCCATAAAGTACTGGCTAGCTTCGTTGAAAAGCTAAAGAAATGAACTTTTTTTATGTATTTACATTTCTCAGTCCCTTAAAAAAAAAAAAAAAGAAACCACATAAATTATACAACCCCCAATCCAAAGCTGAAGTTGCACGCACACAGTCGAAAAAAACGCGGAAACACACAACCAAACCCTTCGACTTTGTCAGAATCGAAACCGGGATTTGAACCCGGGAGTCGACGACAGGTAGTAAATCAGTTACGTTTGTCACTAAACGCTCTGGCCAACTGCGCTACCGAGTTCGGTTATATTAACTTTTCATACTTTAATTACCATTACTATTAATACTATTAGTGAAGGACTATTTTTAACACATCAATAATACTATTTATATACACGTATCACGTAGGTATATCACAAAAAATAATTAGCATGATCCTGGGGCACTTCTTCATTAAATTCTAAATTCTCAAAGTGGCCTAAATTGACAATTTATTTATCTCACTTTAAACGGAAATAGAAGTATGAACACTTGAGGAATTGGTCAGTATAGATATATCAAAAATAATTTCATTTCCTTGGCTTTTCATAAAGGCCAGACTGAAGTTTGTAACACTTATAGGACCAAAGTTACAATGAGTTAAATAATCCCTATAAAATGGTATATTTTTGCTGACTCCCGTATGTATAATGGTCTGTGTTTCAAAAAAGCAAATTTTTGAAAATAAAACAACCGGTTTTATGGTCAGGAGTGTTGGTACTAAACATGAATTAAATTTCATCAAAATCAAAAACCAATACAAAAAAATAATTTTAAATTTTTTGTTGAATTCGTATAAAATGAATGAAGTATAGTATATTGAGTAGTGGTGGAAGGTATGTGAAACTTCTCATATGGTCCAAATGCTACTATCCGACCGACATTATAGATGTCTCTGTGGCGACTTGCGAAGCAAGTACCGAGAGCGGCGACCTCAAGCCCAGGTGGACTAAACTACTGTTATTAAATAAGATTTGATCGAAACAACTACTCAGCGGGCAAATACCCCGACCTGCATTGGATTATACCTTCAAATCATGATAGATCGGTAGCCAATATCATTTGTCAATTCCTAACCAGACATAGACCGGTTTTGAACTTATTAGTTCTCCTCAATTGACAAATGATATTGGCTACCGATCTATCACGATTTGAAGGTATAATCCAATGCAGGTCGGGGCATTTGCCCGCTGAGTAGTTGTTTCGTACAAATCATATTTAATAACAGTAGTTTAGTCCACCTGGGCTAGAGGTCGCCGATCTCGGTACTTGCTTCGCAAGTTTCACATACCTCTCATCACTACTCAATTTACCTTAGTAAGTATATGACTAGCAGGTTGGCCACTATCATTTGTCTGTTCCATAACCTATGGCATACTGAGGAGAACTAATAAGTTCGAAACCCGTCTATGTCTGGTTAGGAATTGACAAATGATATTGGCTACCGATCTATCATGATTTGAAGGTATAATCCAATGCAGGTCGGGGTATTTGCCCGCTGAGTAGTTATAGTATATTATCAATTATTTTATTCATCTTAAATAACACAACTTTAATTCACTGAAAATATTGCAAATTTTAAAGAAGAAATATACATCGCAAGTGTGATTATAAGCAAATGTCCACATGATTAGCGAGAAGTTAATTTAATATGTAACACCCAACATTTTAATTAAGAATAATTAGCTCAATTGCAGTAGCGTTTTAATTAAATTTTTACTTAATACCCCAGATGGGAGAAGAATTGTGATTCCCAGGACAATCGCCTGAGAGCCTATCCCTAGGTTCCAGTCAACCGCTGCGTTGTGTTGCTAAAGGAACGATATATTTTTATTACAACGATTGATATAAATTTCTCATTTTGGAGTAATTTTAGTTTGTCCAGAAGTAATACTCATAAATTATTAATGATATTTTTGGTTCTTATCCCAACAACATGTGGCATCGACCTTTGGGAGATTTGGGTTAATGAATATATATGGAAGGCGGAAAAGGTTGGTCCCCAATACATTAATTCCACATTCAGCATCATTGAGCTGTTTTATTTGTTTTTGTTGTCTCTCCGTTGCTTTTATACGCTATATGAGGTTTGGCTTTATTTACGCCAATTCGTTTGGGACCTACGTGATTTCTGTTTCCGATGTCAAAAATGTTATTGTTCTGTAGCATTCATTTCATTTGTGGGAAATTGAAAAAGCTGTGTATATATAGAATTCTCGATGAGTTACAAAAATCCATGAAATGAAAATAAATAACACTGAAAAAGAAAACAATGTATTCAAAGTCGATGCGAATACGAATCTCTTAAAAATAATTGAATAATAATAATTTAAAAATATGTGACTGAGAAGGAAAAGTAGGGGGATGAAGTTTTAAAAGTTTTAAACCTCTATTGTGGTAAGTAGCAAACAATAGCAAAAATTATTATAATTGTATTTTTTTTTTTTTAGTCATCAATAACCTACAAGAAATCTTCGCAACCATTTTAGTGAATATTGAAATATTAATTAACATTTTTTAAATAACTTGTTTTTTTTTTGCTTTGGTCTTACAGCCATGCAGCTAGACTCAAAAAGAATATCACGGAAGCAATAATAACTTTTTCCTAAGCTAATTCCTAAGAGAATGCCGGCTCGGTGGAATAGTTGGCTAGAGCACACGTGTGATTAGCTAATCTCTCCATCGTCCTGCTGGTTCGAATCCCACCACCGACACTGGCAATATCGGTAGGAATGATTGTGTGTTCTCGTTTTTTCGCCCATGAGGCGTCGGCTTTGGATTTGGGGGTTATCTAATTTCTGTGGTGATTATGAAAATAAGAAAAACAAGGATGTAACAAGGGATGTAAAACAGGGCCACACTCTTCTTATCCAGGAGTCTTTCAGGACCTTGTTAAATAGCACATACGGGCTAAGACTACGGAAAGAAGGAAAATTATTAATAGATGATAAGAAAAGAGAGAGTACGAAACCTAACCTAATCTATAATATTAGACGCTTGCAGAACTGAAATTAAAGCATCGAAGATATTTCTGTTATTTAACGTTAGTAAGGAGAGGAGGTTAAATGGGTCTGTATATTACATTTAATAATGTCCTGGTATAGTTTGTTACTTTGTTGTATATTGCTGGGGCATTCAAAAAAATATGGTCAAGATGACCAGTAGAGTTGCAAGATGAGCAAGTGTCAGACGGGAGTATTTTAATCTTGAACAGATGAGCATGTACAAAATTCAATTTTATAATCGTTGTTTTGTATCGTCTCGGAACATATATGTCTTTATGCCAAAAAGTTATTTCTGGGTGAATTAGGGGGTATCTAGTGGGATTAGAAAAACAGAATTCACTACATATATGACTCCAATTATTTTTTAATTTTAGTTTTAGTAAGCATCGGATAAGCATATTTTATTGTCGCAAGGTGTGTGATGCTATTCTTTGCTTGGCCAAATGATCTACATTCATTATCTGTGAATCCTATGTGAGCTTTTACCTACACAAAATGAATTTGTTTAGGTTCCTAAATGGTATATATCCCCAACTAGATGTTTGATTTTAAAAATTAAGGTATTTGAATTAACACTAGTTAAGGAAGTGCTTTGCCGGGACTTTAAGACTGATGGAGAATCCGATAGGATTATTGTAATATTATTGCTAGAGTCAATGGTCATGGCCTCGTGAACTGCGATTGCCTCGGCTGTGGAAATGGAATGATTCGATGAGAGTTTAATTTTAAATTCACGATTTTTATTAGGAACATGAAACGCACAATCTGTGTCTGCCCTGGATTTGGAGTCGGAATGTAGATGAATTCGGCATGACTACACTTACTTAGAATACTTTGAGGATACATTTATTGATTGATCCATTGTCGCTATACTTGGAAATAAATATTGAGATAGGAGTAAAGATGTCTGAATAGTGAGTGAAATCGTTTGATTTCCAAAAGTTATTATGAATTCGTAAAATATAATAGAATATTCTCGAAGTACATGTTTTAATGGTGGTAATGGTTCTCTTATCCAATATTTATTCATTAAATCGTATGTGTTCAGAATAAAGATATTTTGCTATATGCTTATATATGCTTATTTTCAACAAAAAAGGAGTTAATGCCTTAAGTTTAGTGGGGACTCAAGTGCTTAAAAATGTAGAGAAAGTAAGAACATGTATTTCATAGCTCCAAGGCAAATCCTAAATACATCGTTTTGTATAATTTCAAGTCAGTTAAGAATACTAGTGTTAGCTACACCATAAGGTTCCTCCCATAATCAATAATTGATCTTAGGTAAGT